TAGTAAATTTACATTATTTTTTCATAGTACTTCATAGTGATGGTCCATAATTCAGAGGTTAGAATATTGCAGATTTCTCTGTATAAGCAGGTTCGCTCTTGATCTGCACATGTTATTCTTAAAGAGCCAGCCTAAATTGACAATGAGCTGAGACACCAAACATGAATTTCGCAAAAATCCGTCAACAAAATTGTATAATTTCCATAGAACTTTTAACACTACCACACAAAATCAGAGGGTCTAGTCCCATTTTTTTTAGGATCTTATATTCCTATTATCCACGACCGTTTACCACCAAGCTGCTATGATGAGAAAGCTTCTGTGGGGCGAAATTCATAACAACTTTCGTGAAAATCGGACAGTTGTTTTAAATGCTAATAATTCTGGAGACACACGTATGTGGACATAAACTTTTATTTTCTTTTTATCTGCGGAATTTAAAGCCGGCAATTATGGCGAAATAAAGCTGTATCACTGATGCGGAATTTGTTATCTGGAGAAGCAGCTGGTTATAGTGAAATGACGCGCGAAATCTTCGTGACAGTGTGACGTGTAACGTATATTATTCTATCAGATAAGAGGAAATTGCCTTAGTCCAACGAGCATCTACAAATAAATCCCATCGCTGTCCTTTTCTCATGAGGTACTTTCTTGACAGTTTGCCTGGAACGTGACGCAAACCTCGTGGATGGTGAATAATCCTACCAATAAATCATGCTTAAGAGGACTTCGAAAATTCCAGGTGGCCTATCACGTGGCAAAAATAAATTGATAAAGATGGATCAGACAATAATAAATATGGGTTAAGAATATTTGGTAAATATACGCTCAGACAGTCCTCACAAACTGGAACAAAGATCCACACCAAATATTCATGTACACTTATTAAAATTCATGTAGTTTACTATAAAATCGTACATTTGCAGAAAAAATCGCCCTGGCTCCATGTTATTTCATGTCAATGTCTCAGTGACTAATAATAACGGGTTCTAGATTGGATACTCTGTGGTCTGTAGTCCGCAAGCGAACTATACCGACCGAGCGACCGTCGCTTGTCGGAGGAGTTAGTGCCAAATTTAGCGGATAGAGGGTGCCACGTGGTCACCGCAACGCATCCCCATGGTCGTTAAACTCAGTTTTCTAGACCGGAGCCGCTATTTCCTTGAAATAGCTCCTCAATTATCCTCACGAGGCTGAGTGGGCCCCGTTCCAGACCCACTACTTCTCAGATAATCTGGTAGAGCCGGGTGTCGAGCCCCGGCTTCGGTTCATGAAGAGATTATTTTTTTCTTATATGAAAGTTACTGTCCTGTTCATTTGGGGCGCCCTCTCTGACGAGAGGTCGGGTCTATCATTTGTCAGTCATAGTCCGTATTAGTAAGTCCATTGTCAGTATTTACATATATTTACAAATTGAATCTTAATTCCTATTTCTATGTACAATATATACAAGGCCTCTGTCAATCCAGGCTCAATACAGCAGCCTATGCCCTATTTCCAATAGTATTTGCTACCACAGTAGCCTAGTCACTTGAACGGTCATATGCCTGACCGCCGCCAAGTTTCAGCCTCTTATACTTTCTGTGTTGGGCTTCGCCTTGGCCGATGTTGCGAACATTCTCATTGTCATGATTTTGTATGCCTTCTGCTTGTTTCCTGCATAATTTTGTTATAAAGTCATATACGTACGGGGTTTTAAATGCCATGTGCAAATCGCGGACCGGTGTGCGCCTTGGAAAATTGCCAATGGTGCGGAGAACCTTGTTTTGCAGGCGCTGCAATTTCACTAGTTGAGTGTCTGCCGCAAGCTCCCAGGAGGGACTAGCATAAGTCATTACGGATCTAATAAGAGCTTTGTGGAGGATCATTATAACGCTAGCGCTCAATCGCTCACTTCTAAATACGGAATATACTCTAATCAATGTTCTGAAGGCCTTGGCTTCGATCATTTCTATGTGCAATCTCCATGTAACTTTTTATTGAAGATTACTCCTAGATATTTTGCACTGTCTATAAATGGAATATTTCGTCCATTTAGAGTGAGACAATAATCAGGCGTTCGACGACCACGAGAGAAGTAGATCCCCTGAGGCCTATCTTCATTAATTTTAATATTCCAGCGCTCACACCAGGTCTCCATTTAGCTGAGACCGCACTGGAATTTTCTAACAATAAAACCCTCCTTGCGATCTGTCGCATACCTGATTATGGAGACGTACAGTATCCAAAATTCGAATTTTTACTCGGTATACCATTCTACTGTTCATCGAAACGTCATTAAGTTTGCAAGTTTTTTCAATAGAGATTTTGAGGAACGAGGTTCAGACGAACATAGCCCAATTCCCTCAGCACCAACTTAAGAAGAACGGTAAATTAGGCCCATAGCTTCCGCAGGAAGGGCCGGGTTTTTCACTGCAACTTCAGAATAAACCATGAGGGCTCTTCTTCACATCTCTACATAAGAGCGGCATACATATTCTTAAATCTGATTCTTCATGCATGTTCCGTACAGATAATTGTCAATTTATTGCAGATACTGATATATTGTAGGATAGCTACTTAATATTAAGATCATCTGTTAAGTATAAACATAGAATCTGCTCTTGGCAAATAAGTACTTAAGCTACAAATGAAAAATCTCGCTTAGAAGCATTATATCTTCTGGTCTATTTTCCAAAAGGTCGCCAAAAAACGTGCCCCGCCATCACTTAATAGTTAAAGCTATTTATTCCTAGCTTCACTGTAATATGAATTATATGTTGTGGTTCAGTAAAACTGTTACACCTATTGACTGAAGGCTTTTACGAACTGAGGTGAGGAACATATATAGGAACGGTGGTAGAGTGAACACGGCAAGGAAAAAGAAAACGAGCAGCGCGAAGGATGACAAGACCGACTGCAGACGTTACAATCACAGCCCTCGAAAGAAGAAAAAGATGATACACCATTTGGCTGTTCGGGACGAATAGCCGTAATGGGGGAGCAGTGTGAAAGGCGAACCCATTGGATAAAAAGTGTCACTTCCTAGGTAACGCATTGTCAAGATAGTGCGTGACAATCAGCATCCATTGCTAGTCAACACCTAGCAATTCCTAGGTAACGAATTGTTTGAGGCAGTTGCATAACAACAGCGTCCATTGCAAGTCAACGCCAATGTATTCTTGTAGCAACGAGAAAACCGTTTGCATGACAGCAAGAAAATTGAACTATTCGACAATTTGTCTGCTATTTGGTACACCAAGAACCTACTTCAGTGGCCGCCGTGTCGAGTGGACCCAGTTGGCCTCCACCACCCACTAAGCGAATTAAAAAAATTACAGAGCGGTTGCTGTATAGTAAAAGCAATATTTCCTCTATTATAAGGTACCATCGATTGCAAGAGGCGCCCTTGATTTAGTAATAGATTCCCAGAAAAATAATTTTAGAGGAGTTGCCAATATTCAAATATAAAATTCCTCTGTAGTAAGAGAAGCCTATCGACATAAAACTTAAGTTAAAAGCAAACAAATTTATCTATTCACTGTCTCCTTCACTTGTGAATCCAGTCTCACTCCAAGTCTACAGAATCTTCTAGTCACGTTTTCAAATCAGGACAGCCAAGATAAGAATTTTTCCATGTGATATCAATTTCTGTCCCATCAGGTGCATTTATAATGCAGCATTTCTTGAACAAATTTCCACTGCTTTTCCTGCAATCGTCTTCGAACAGGCTGAGACCAATACTGAAAGCTCTGACGCAGATGCTCCTCGGCACCACCTGGTGTTAGTGGAAGGTGTTCAGGCTCATATTCCTTCCTGGTTTACTAACCAAAACATAAGAGTGTTTCAAGTTCGTCATCAAGTCACAATTCTTGCTCCCAAGTTTATCTTTAAGTTCTTCAGATAATTGTCGGCGAAAAGAATCAATGACTAATATGATTGGTCGGTTACAGAGAGCTCTAGGGCGTTTATCCCAGAGGGTTTTCAGTCAGTCTTCCACCAAAGCAGTTGTTATCCATCCGTTTATGTGAAACACAATAAGGTCTTTAGGGAAAGTCTCAGCCTTAGGTATCCTTTTTCGACAGAAAATAATATAAGTTGGTAGTTTATGGCGGCAGCCTATGTGGTCTAGTGGTCAGAGTTGCTGGCTACAGATCCTGAGGTCCCAGGTACGAATCCCGGCGCTACCAGATTTTCTGAGAAGTAGTGGGTCTGTAACGGGATCTATCCAGCCTCATGAGGATAACTGAGGAGCTATTTAAAGGAAATAGCGGCTCCGGTGTAGAAAACGGAGATTAACGGCCTTTTGAATACGTTGCTCTGACACCCTCTATCCGCAAAAGTTGCCACTAACTTCGCCGACAAATAACAAGACTAACTAGCAACCACAATTTTCGAACTACTGCAGAGCACAGCTGTGATAGAACTTATACCAACTTATTTTTTAAATATTTATAATTTTAAATGAAGTCCAACAATCGGTGGGTGCATCGTTACAGAAAGAAAGTCATAAAGTTAAAGAAGCTCCAATTTCCAACATATACGGGCAAATACCAAAATAACGTTATAGAAGACAGGGAAACCCTTGTTAATCCCTGCAGTTTTAGGGAAAAGCACGTACACAGAACATGCGGCGAGCATATTAAGAAGCCGCGTAGATGCGAGAAAAATAAAAATAAATCAATAATGAAAACTATGATATAACAACAACTGTGAGTATATAATTTACGTTTAATTTCTTAGAATACAACATTACTGTACATAAAATATCACGGCATGCAATAAAAATAAACAAGCATCACCTTATTTAATTAGTGCAGTGGCTGAGAATAAAATACAAGCATATGAAACACGGTAACTGGGATAAAATAAAACGAATAAAATTCGACAATTAATTTCTTACGATAAGTAAAAGTTCGTGTCACACCTTTCACCTTGTGACGGCACACCAGTGTGCCGCGGCACACCGGTGTGCGGAACACTGCTATAGTCACCGGCTCCGACGTCTCACCCTTCCTTATCTACTGTAAATAACATCACAAGATTAGAACTACGATAACAATAGTTTATCATGATAATCCACTACCTTTGAAATACACTCGATATTACCTGTCACATGTCTTTCTACAAAATGATATGACGAAAACTGCCCGATACGATGGAAGAACCACACAGGATACACATAAGGGCCTTCCGAGTTGTTCCCTCCTCCAGTGCTGTTCAGATCCCACAATGGCGCGGATGGAACTGATTCTCCTGTCCCTGCTAGCGGTTGCCGTCACTGAGAAGGCGCTGGCTACAGGACGTGCGTCCATCGAGACCTGCAATGGAGACTGTGACCAAGTGCAACATGGTGAGGTGCAAACTGGAGTTGCAATTTCAAGTAATCACGGCATTCGTACTTCCATTCCACTTCCGCGTATTTCTTTAAAGACGGAATTTAAGAATGTAATACCGATTGAACAGGAGACACTTGCATGAGCAGGTGAGGTACTGATATCTGGAAAACATGCCTTTCACAATCAAGCCATGTGTATCATTCTAATCGCTGGCTCTACAAAACTAAGCCGAGTGATCTCAAATCTGAGATCAGTAGAGTCCCCACTAACAATTATATTCACTGCTTAATTCAATTTCATTTACTGCCCCAACTTCATTTTGCTCACAAGGAAATAAAAGGTAATGGTTTCTTTGGCACTCTACTTAACAGTGATTTCTCAAAAGAGAAGCTCTTTAGAATGAGATTTAAATGGAGGTTGATTGTGAGTGTAGAGTTTGGATAGGTGGGAAATGCTGGCGGTGTACTGGAGCACAAATGGACAATTCAGGAAGCATACCAGATCACTCAGACAGATATGCACCCGGATTCTCCCAGATGGAAACGTTACGCCTCATTAAGTCACGCTTGTTGCAGAATATCTCGGCAAGAATGACTCTTCGTTTATGTTCTGCTACTTATTGGGACGATAACAGAAACATCGATTCCATCCGCGTAAATTTTGAGTACAAGCCCTTAACAACACTACCTTGATCTCTATTTGTTCATTTGGTATATTATATTATTTCAGAAAATTAATTTCACGAATAATTATAACTAACTATACGTTCGAAATAGATTAGTGACACATCGTATAACCAGTTTTCCAAATCAGATATGAACAGAAAATTCTTGCTGAAGGGATATAGGAATTTGATCGGTAGTGCTCGAAGTTAACGAGGGGTTACTGCCGGTAAATACACGTGTGATAAAAAGATTAAGACTTTAGCAATGTCTCCTACAATTAAAATCTGTACATTTCATTGTCGTCTAAGATAAACTTATTTATTTTCTTTGCATTAGGGAACAATTTCGAAAAGTGAGAAGTGAGCCTGTTCGTATAATTATTTACAAAATTATGTTAAAAAACTGGATTGTCGATAAATATTCCTATTATTAGCTCCACAGAAAATGTATCCACAATTCTCCTATCAAGACTGACATTACTGAAGAAAATCAGTGTAAAATTGGATATTATCCAAGTGTTGATTTCGTAATTAGTGTTAATCACATAAGACTGCTGTTGAAAAACATTAGTATAGTGAGACAGTAAGTTGGCTGCAGAATAGTTTTCAAGAAATATGCAAAAATTATGTTGAATTTGATGCATACAAAAAACTAGTTTGCCTGAATAAAACTGTGATTTAACCTAAACTACAGTGAAGTTCGTATAAGAAAGCAACCCTGGCAAATGCCATTTTTATTCAGAATTGTGTGAAAGATGATTCATCACTATTGTTCTCTCAAAAATTCTCTAGACAATCAATGTAACCAATAAAACTAGAAATGCAAGATATAGTTCTAGGTGAATAGGTCAGTTTAAATGGCGAAAGTACATGTACCGTAGAAGAGAGCATAGATGTCCTGTTCCTATTCATTCACTAGGAAAGTCAAGAAATCAGCACGGAGAAGGTGAAGTATAGGTGTAATTTGCGTCTCCATAACGCAGGAAAAATGCATTATAAAGTTAGATAATAAATAATTTGAATATCTGGTAAATTTAAAATATTCTAGAAAGGCAGTAATTCATCAAATTTATATTCACAAAGAAGTTACTAACAGATAAATTCGGGAAATGCTTGCTGCCATGTTCAGAATATTTTGCCTTTGTGGCCTTATCTTAGAATAGAGGGACGCGAAATATAAAGCAGGGTGAATACAATTGCATAATAATCTGTGGGCGCTACGGTCCATGATAAACCTTTGACTCTGTTCTTTTTCCCTTGGCACTACAGCCCCAGTGGGCCTAGGCCTACCTCCATGAACTTCTCCGTTCACTTTGGTTTTTCTAGATCTTACACATTCGGTAGGACTCCTTGGGCGGGTGATCAGCTCGTCGCAGGCTTCTACCTGTACACAAACACAGAAAAACGCACACACACACACAAATTAAACATCCATGCCCTGAGTGGGATTCGAACCCACGATCCCGGTTTCCAAGCGAGCGAAGACAGTACATGCCTTAGACCGCTCGGCTACCATAACCGGCTTGATTCTGTTTTACAGTTTCTTAATCATACAGACTGTCGGCACGACTACTTGGGTGGGACATGAGACCGCCGCAAGGCCGCTACCTATGGAGAACAACAGAAACACAGAATAAAGGCAGACATCCATGCATCGAGCGGTATTCGAAATCACGACCCCAATGTTTGAACGGGGGAAGACAGTTTATGCCTTAAATCGCGCAGCTACTGTAATAGGCCACTCATATTGTTAGGGTGATGAAATCAATTAGATAAGATAGGCAAAATATGTAGCACGCATGTGAAATGTCCTGTTCGGAAAAATGTGAATGCAATTCTTCAGATGCTGACATAGAAGGAGGATGATATTAGGCTGGCCATTTAAGAAAATAGGATGTGAAATTTTAGATTAGATTTATCTTGCACAGGACAAGATTCAGCGACAGATTCTTCTTGACAAGGAAACGAACAATTAAGTTCCAAAAGAGGCGGGACATTTCATGAATTTATGAGCGATTATTAGTTTCTCAAATTCCATGGATTTGGTCGGGCCTTCAGAGGTCGGTGTAGATGATGACTGCCGTGACCGGCGTGACAGCGGCTTGCAACAACAAATCTCTCTGTCCAGTGAATGAAGAGCAAGGCGATTAAGACGTACAGTATCGCAAATAACCCATTTCGTGAGTGCACTTGCCCGCTCTTGTTGTAACGGCCAGAGAAACGACAGTCACACCTAATGGACGCTTTGCTGAAGACAAGGCAGACATTTTAATTAAGAATGTTGTTCCGAGATCACAAATTTCTGTAAGAATTTATTCTTGTAAACGACCGAGTATCTGAATAGCAAACAGCTTAGTTTTGGAAAAATTTGTCTATTTTGTTACATTCATCGAACAAGACGTGACGTCACTGCGCTCTGACGCACACATTTCAATACACAAGGGACAGATAACGGTGACTGCAAAACTGAAAATTTGAATTGCACTTTTTTAAAACGTAAATAACTTTGGTTTAACAAACGCAAAGTACCATACTATTTTTATCAGCGGAGCCCCTTCGGCTGCAAATGGAACTGACAGGAACCCAAGCCGAAACTGAACCCGGATGTACAAGAAGGGAACGGAAGGGCCAAACATCCAGAAAAAGACGCAAATGCATGCATGTCCGACTACCTAAATATTCACGCAGTTATCCGAATAATGAGTATGCTCACCGCTTTTTATATACTAAATGACTGTGTGACGGAAGGAAATCTTTCTGCGAAAGGACGCCTTTCCACTGCTCCCGTGTCCAGCCCAAGATTCGCCACACTACTGTGGCATCGCGTGCTGCCGCGCCTTCATAACCGCGGCTAAAGCAGTCACTGAAATCTGATTAATTTTATGATAAAAATTCTCATTACAATATAAAAATAAAGTAACTCGGAAAATTTGGACGATCAGTATATTTCCAATACAATTCCCAGTTTGATTTCTTTGTCTCTTTATGGAACAGAAGTAGCCATTTTAAAATTTTTAATCTGGTAATCATCCCAAGATAGATAGTGAGACACTGATCTAACAAAATAAGTAACTAATTAAACTGAATGACTTATAGTTCCTGATGTGATAAATGGACCGACACATTTACAATTTCGCTTATTGGCCGTTCATATAATCTAAACCTAATCACTAGAGATATGGTTAGCCAAGTAAGCTACTGAAAGACAAACAAATAATTGTTATTATTTTCAATGGTAGATGGATGAATATGTCATTCGTTGTCCAAATACTGTAAATACTGAAGCTTATAATGATGAGATATATAGGATATGGACTGGTCCTAATCTACATGTGTTTGTATGTCAGCTTACTATCTCTGTACCTGACAAGTCAGTTCCTTATCACCATGATATGGAGGCGTTTTCAGCTTGCGGATGGAGTGGCCGGCCTTCAAATGTTAGGGATGGCTGGGAATACTGAAGAAGTCACGGACGCTAAATCCGAGACCCACGTGAAGTTACTTGTTGCGTGACATACCCAACACGCGACAACTCCGATGGCTTTTTCTTGTCTGGAAACGTGAAAGAACACATTTCTGCAGTCCCTCCCATTTTGTGGCAAGATTAAAACGGTCGATGCCTACACGTTAAGGGGCATCTGAGAGCGCGCGCGACTCACTGTCATCTGCCTTGAATTGGATGGAGGCCGTTTCAAACACTTATTGTAACTAGGAGGCGTCCATGGTTTGGCCATCTGATAGTTTGCGCTCTGTGACGTTGACGCGTATCTTGAAAACTAAATGTCACAGGACGTATGCTGCATAATACTGTCGGCTGTTTTCTCAGCAATGTATCACACTATAGAAAGCGTGTGTGCGAATTTCTTGTTTCGCTCTGTACAAGTACATATACAGTATATACTACATAATTATTGTTCCAGTGCATATTTGCATGGTGTAATCTAGTAGGAGGCCGCCAGGGCTCACAAAGGACTGTCGTGCCAGTGATGATGATGATGATGATGATGAATCTAGTAGGGCCGCACTGCCTTTGTTTGACCTTACCTCCTGGTGTAAGTCTAGGTGAAAGATCCAAGACCATCTACTGCAACGAGTTATGAGACATTTATGTTTCCTTGTTGATGTAATACTACACATAGCGTTGGACTGAAAATACTGGATATAAATTGTGCCGGTCCAATCTATATGATCCATATGCAATGTAATTTAGATTTATTAATTTGTAAATTAATACCAGCCTCACTTCTGTTCAGTTTATCCCAAGGATATCTGAAAGTTCATAACACACTTGGTAGATTTAGAAAAAATTCTGTGCTGTTTGTGACAAACAGTAGACTTAGAACACACTTTGAGAACAAAGAAAGTTTCAGTTATAAGCATCTTGTATGTTATAAATACAACGATGCCTTTCAAAATTCTAAAAGTTTGTTACTTTGGAGTAAGAAATATTCATTTTATTGTTGTCGGTAGGAAGGCGGAGATGTTGGATGAGGTGTCCAGATATTGGCATGGAGAATATAGTGTCACGTGTTTATGGCTCCGTAGCTAATGATAACGGGTTCTGGATTGGATGATTGGATTCATTAACGCCTTCTTTTACAGAGTCTCCTACTCACAACCAATCACAGTGCTTTCACCAATCTACCCACTTCACAAATCTCTAGGACCGGCTCCATTCTGGTTCTCGTTCTCCATTGTACTCCGTTGTACTCCTAAAACTTCCAGCCTCAGAAATCCCTTTGTGCTCTCCTACAATTCCTTGGCACGGACCCTACGGAGAACACTTTTCTTCTGTTGTTCTAGAACGTGTGCTTAATTGCCCGTTACCTAGCAATGGATGTCCTATTGTTGAAAGGGTAACTCCGGAACTGTGTTTACAGGGCCGTTCCCTAGCAATAGTCATATGCGTGACAATAGATAACTGGAGGTCCGCGGTGATTTGATTACACAAGGTTCCCATGTCCACCCACAGTGTACCATTAACCAATTAGAAAGCAGTTTCAGCTGGACTGAGACGAGATTTACATATTTTATATTAGAAAAGAATAGTGAGATAGTGGTCGATGAACCACAGCAAAAGGGGGAACAGCTTTTGAAACAACTGTCACATAAAGAGAAACCGTGCAAGAAAAATCGACCGAATTCGGAAAATAACTTGTATTGACGTAAAACGGTAAAGCTGTCCCTGTGATTAACTAAGCACTACGTCATGAAGATGTATGCTCCAACATTCTCCACTTCGGCACTAGATGGGGGTTAGTGGTCAGCTTCACGCCCCGGCCGCTTTACGCCCAGAGGAAAGAGACCCCGGTATCCAGTGTAGGTAATAACAATTTTAATTTAAAATAGGAAATAAGTAAATAATTATTCACCAAGTGAAGTCTTCCTCTGTTCAGTTACAATTAGGGCAGTCTCCCGTTTCTGATTTACTGCCAATTCAAACGCCTTTTAATTCAGCCAAGAGTTGTACTGGCGTGCTGAGCAGCCATAACGCACCAGAGGAAAGAGAGGACTCGACACGACAGTAACATCGGAAAAATATCTCTTGGCGCCCAAATTAACACCCTATTATATATTTTCCTCATCCCACCTTGGTACTCTGTACACATAACACATCGTAGGAGGATGGAACTTGGAGCTCAATGTCAACAACAATAATTGCGTGATGGGTTATGAACTGTGCTTTATTCATAGATACTTCTTTTTTTTTTGTAGATGCTCTTGAACTTAGACATACTTCTCTCCGGAAGCGTCGTGACAGCAGAGCTGCTATCCACGCAGAAGATGGGGAAAGCGACATAACAGCTGCAACTACCGAAACTGCAAGCCCCACATTAACAATTACCGAAACAGCTACACCTACAGAAACAACTACAATCACACCAACTACAACTACCGAAACTACACCTACAGAAACAACTACAATCACAACACCAACTACACCTACAGAAACAACTACAATCACAACACCAACTACAACTACCGAAACTACAACCACAACGCCAACTACAACTACCGAAACTACACCTACAGAAACAACTACAAGCACAACACCAACTATAACTACCGAAACAACTACAATCACATCAACTACAACTACCGAAACAACTACACCCACAGAAACAACTACAATCACAACACCAACTACACCTACAGAAACAACTACAATCACAACACCAACTACAACTACCGAAACTACACCTACAGAAACCACAACACCAACTACAACTACCGAAACTACACCCACAGAAACAACCATAAGCACAACACCAACTACAACTACTGAAACAACTACACCTACAGAAACAACTACAACCACAACACCAACTACAACTACCGAAACAACCACACCTACAGAAACAACTACAAGCACAACGCCAACTACAACTACTGAAACTACACCTACAGAAACAACACCAAGTACAACTACCGAAACAACCACACCTACAGAAACAACTACAACTACCGAAACAACTACACCCACAGAAACAACTACAAGCACAACACCAACTACAACTACCGAAACAACTACACCTACAGAAACAACAAGCTCAACACCAACAACTACAGAAACAACTACAATCACACCAATTACAACTACAGAAACAACCACAAGCACACCAACTACAACTACCGAAACAACTACACCAACAGAAACTACACCAACTACAACTACCGAAACAACTACACCCACAGAAACAACCACCCCAACTACAACTACCGAAACAACCACAAGCACACCATCAACTACAACTACAGAAACAACTACAAGCACAACACCAAGTACAACTACCGAAACAACTACAAGTACAACACCAATCACAACTACAAGCACAACACCAATTACAACTACTGAAACAAGCACGACACCAACTAGTATTACTGAAACAACTACAACTACAGAAACAACTACAAGCACACCAACTACAATTACCAAAATAACTACAACTACAGAAACAACACCATCTACAACTACAGAAACAACTACAAGCACAACACCATCTACAACTACAGAAACAACTACAAGCACACCACCTTTTACAACTACCGAAACAAGTACAAGGACATCGGTTACAACTACAGAGACCACCACTACAGACAGTACCACTAGATCATCATTGTGGGTTCCCACGCTCACAGTAATGTGCGGAATGGCACTCTTCTTCTGGAAAGTAACATAATCATGTGTTTCGGGACGGAAGGACCTCAGTGCACCGATGATATATAAGTTAGGACCTTCATAGTAGTTCCGTAACTGTGACAATAAGAACTTTATTTCAAACAATATTTATTGGTCGCATCATGCATTTACGACCATGCAGAACATTGGGGCACCATTACAATATATACAATTACCTATTATATACCTGTGTTTTTCACATGCACGTGCACAATATGCAGGCTGTGTAAAAATACCGCATTGTAAGAGACGTATATCTATTGGAAATGTCTGCTAAAGCCCTGAGGTACCTTGGCATGCCTCCCCATTTGATCTGCAGACCACATTTCTGCACACAGTGTCAGCTAAGGTACACATATGAATTCTATGAAGTTGGTAGTTATTCTCATAAGAGAGGAAGATGTTTACTGTCTTACATATGTGAAATCCAATATTAAACAAGTGTACTTAGTTGACTGAAATACAAAATTTGTACAATTTTTCGTGTTGTTGTTTCAAAGAGCAGTATGTGACTTCCTTTTTTCATTTTCCCTGTTTAACGGAATTTTTATTTATTTTCTTATTCTCCTTTTCCTTCTTGATATATTACGCCCTCTGGCTTGTTCCCATTCAGAATTAGTCTGATATTGTGAATCTTAGGGGAGATCAGTAGGACTCCTTGGAAGGGGGATCAGCTCATAGCCAGGCATCTACCTACAACATAAACACAGAAAAAACGCAGATATACAGAGTTATTCAAGAAGAATGAACCGATTTTATTACACAATATTTTATTAAAAGAAAGTAATACAAAACTCCAGCCAAGTCACAAGTATTCTACTCACAATCAACTTTTATTTCCTGTCTTACAAGTGTTCAATGTGGCCACCACCCGCAGCACGGGCAACATCAATGAGATAAGAGAAGTCCTCCCAGGCGCGTATCAGCATATCACGATGCACTGAGTTAATCACTGTTGTTATTCGATGTTCAAGGTCATCGAGGTTAGTGGGTAGCGGTGAAACATAAATTTGATCTTTTACATATCCCCACAAGAAGAAATAACACATGGTGAAGTCTGGGGATCTCACAGGCATAGCACAAAGGGCAAGGTCTTGGGCCCCCTTCCAACCAATCCATCGCTGGGGCACTTTTTTCATTTTAAAAAGCTCGGACCATCAGGTGCCAATGAGGCATTGCTTCATCTTGTTGAAAAATGAAGTCATGCAAATCTGCTTGCAGTGAAGTGAAGAGCCAGTTTTGGAGCATATCGAGATAGGTTTGTCCTGTAACGGTGTTTCCTTCTAAGAAAAAGGGACCATAAACCTTGTCCTGAGACACAGCACAGAAGATGTTCTCCTTAGGGAAATCTCTTTCGTACTCAACTGTTTCATGTGGGTGCTCTGTTCCCCAAATACGCACACTGTGACGATTGACTTGTGACTTGTGCTCAAGTGAAAAGTCGCTTCATTACTAAAAATTAAACGTGAAATGAAGGTTTCGTCTTCCATCATCTCCAGCATCGAAGCGCAAAATTCCATCCGCTTCCTTTCGTCGTCATTGGTAAGTGCCTGAACGAGCTGCAGTCTGTATGGTTTCAAATGTAGACGTACTGTTGGCACACGCCAGACAGTGGATTGGGGGATCGCAAGCTCACGGCTAGCTCGATTTGTTGACTTCCACGGGCTCCTTTCAAACGCAGCACGGATTCTCGCCACTTGTTCCTTCGAGACTCGTGGTCATCCTGGACTTTTTCCTTTACACAGACACCCACTCTNGTTCAGCTGGGTCCACTTGGCACAGTGGCCACTGATTGGCCTATTGTATCTACCCCAGGTGATTATGATGATGGAGAATTTGGTGGAATGAAGATTGGCAGGGCAACCAAAGTACTCGGAGAATACCCGCCCCAGTGCCACTTTGTCACCACAAATCCCACTTGACCAGACCTGGGATCGAACCTGGGCCGCCGTGGTGGGAAGCCAGCGACTAACTGCTTGATCTATGGCGCGGCCTGACGGTCATTATATAGGTCATCTTTCTGGATTTTTTTGGTCATTTTAAAAATATTTTTAGGTCATCAGAATCTGGGTCCTTGTTATAAATATTGACAGTTGAAAGTAATAAACATCACAATAAATTCAGTTATCAATTTGAATCCTGTGTATAATCACTAACCCATGACAACTCTTGTCAGAAGAGCGGGTCTGGACTGAACTGTAGACTGCTGGATTGGAACTGATCTGACAGCTGATCATGGGGGACATGGAGCAACTAACAGTTGCCAAGCAAGGAATGAAGATCAGTCAAAAACTGAAATTAGAGATGCCAGGAAAAATGAAGGCCATCATAACTGTCACTCAAGAAAAGACAGAGGCCATGTTAAAGGACTGCAAGGATCAAATGAGGGCCAGCCAGGCATAAATGGAAGCTGCGAAAAACTCCATATTTGAATAGACTATGAAGACACAGTTGGAAGATGTACTGGCATCTGCTGACCAATGGACCCAAGAACCTCTGCAAAGACTAAACTCTGAAACTGAAGGCAAATCAACATACAAGCGAAGAATGCATCTGCTGACAAGTGGACTCAGAGCCTCTGTGATTAATTCAACATGGGGGTCCTGATTTGTATCAGGGAGCAGAGGAAAATAATGGAAGGGTTAAGACAGTCACCAGACCCTGAATTTGAACATTCTGTTAACAAGAGCAGTCAAAAACATGATATACCAACACCAGCTACTTCAAACCAACACGAGCAAAGAATCAACAATACAACACAGTAAATGCTGAAACAACCCCATACAGATCAGAATAATACTCCTCCAGAGAGAGAGATGGAGTACATGCTCCTGAGAATATCAGAATATCAGATCTCCTTCAAGGCATACAGCTGATCTAGGACATACCACTTTCCACCAGCAAAGTAAGCTATCAAGCACAGAAACAAAGGATGAATCCCCATTCTTTGAAGCAAAGTATGTAACGGCACAGCAGACTAGAAAGACTTGAATTTGCTGTAGATGTTTGTATTTTGTAAACAGTAGCGAAGTGTTCTGATTATCTAACATAAATTGGTTCTGTGCCTACGCACCATGCCATGTAGGAGTTCAGAGGCAAAGAAGGTAAATCTGTACTCACTCCTAACCACTGCACTTGATGAGGGAGAGGGGTTAGCCTTATGGCTGCTTCATGACTAGTCAGACAGTCCTCAGCACTAACTGCATGGGAAGGTGGTTGAGCTTCAGAGCTGGTATGGATGAGGTGCGGAAGATAAAAACATGCCTAGGAAAGGAACCCCATAGTCCAATTTGTAGCATGTCACTCTACTGACAAAGCTATTCAACTCATGAAAAAATTACTGACATTCCTTTGGTTTGTAAATTTTTGAGAAATCCACTCTACATCTACCTTACAAAAATACCATGTTCTGCAAAACATGTGCCAAACTACAATATGATATTATACATGCAGTTTTGGGTGAAAAATGCTGCAACAACATGTCTGCCAACCATGACATTACTGTGAACAATGGTACCACTATGGATGACATCTACCATTACACTACTACAGGAATTTTAATTATACATAGGTGGCAACAAGAAAAAGGAATCACAGGAAGTGACATGCACATGCGCATACATATACATTCATTCATTCATGACACCTTCTGTCATGTGTGTTGTCTGTATAGTAAATGTTCTACAGTGTAAGTGCCCCATCTCTGATTAACAGTACAGTACATTGTACAAAAATTACAATACTCCTATAAATTAAATGGTTGACAATCAGACACATGTTGACATATCATTTTTCACCCAACTTTATGTGTATAATATGATCCCACAGTTTGAAACACATTTCCCATAAAATTGTATATACATATCCTAACAACTAAAGACTAGACATAGCTGACTCTAGGTGCTCTACATTAAGAAATAAAAGAAAACATGATATCCAATCACCAAATGAATGCTGAGTCCTGTTTACACTTTACATGCCACAAGAACATAAAATTCTGCAGCATAGGTTTGGTGACTCCACAGAAGATTGAAAACAGGCACAGAAGTCACAAAATATACCATCATTTTCTGCTGTAAATAATATTCTCATTTTATATTGCAACCAGTTATAGAAATTGCAGGTATTTAATATTTTATCAAGGGAAAACAACCAATGCTATGTTTTGGGCTGAAGTCAGATATGCCATTAGCATCCTGTGTGTTTGAATGACCATTCCACAACACACTGAATGTTCCTGAGGTGAGCGAATATGCTTCTACATACATAGCATCACTTTCATCAGTGGAGAATGAGTAGATGACATTGTGCACAAGACAAGTGTTGGATGTGTTGTGACAGAAGTGGCCAAGAAGCTCAAACCTTGAAGTCTGGCCATCAATATCAGTAATGCTGAAGTGTGGAGAAAATCGAACAAGTTCTGTGGAGTATGTACCTGAAAAGAACAAATTTCACTACATGAGAAAAATTACTGTATAGATACAGGACCTCTTATCCATGAAGCTTGGGACCAGATCGAAACAAAGATTTCTGGTCCTAGGTCTAGCATGTACTTAAAATATAAGATAAAGTATAACAATTAAATTATAATTTACTTATCCAAACTCTTCACTTTATGGAAGCACATTTCTCTAATTCATAAGCATTTCACCTCAATGTTTAAATTCGATGTAAAGTTTTTTCTTTAGGCCATCCCCCTAGCCACTGGGCTTTCTACTGGTCATTTGGAAATGTTTCTGATCAAAAGAAAATGGCAAGTGACCACAATAATCACACAAAATCAAGTATACAAACAAACGGGCAGGTCTGACCTGTGGGAGGCTATGCACCCTTCAAAGATAGGGACCAGCCAACAAATTGTTCAGTCACTGCTGCCAACTGAGCCGTGTTTACATTCGTATGGCTCAGAAAAGAGTAGGCTGGCCCAGTATCCCCCCCCCCCACGCCCAAGGCATCTGTGCCATTATTTCCACAGTTCATGCAATCCCATCATTCCCGCGTACCATGTGATTTCCCTTTCCTCCAGTTGTTTAGAAAGAAGTAGGGAGAGTTGTAAGTTAGTCTTTCGTTTTCCAGCAGTCAACGAGTTAGGTGGTGAAATTCTGAAATGGAACCAGAGATAAAGGCAGTGATCATCCCCCCAAACTGTAGTATGGAAAGAGGGGAGGAGTTGCTAACAACCCATCAGTTTATTTATTCTTTTCAGTCTGTTATTGAATGCTGCTGTCAGTATAGAGTTTATATAGCATTGATGATTGGATGATTAATGAATACGGAGCAGTGTGTGGAATGAGTACTGGTAGGAGAAAACCTGCTCCAGTGCCACTTTTCCATGAGTCCCACATGACCTGATCTTGGATCAAACCCTGGCTGCCTCGATATGAAGCCGGCGACTAACCACCTGTGTTATGGAACAGCCATCCATCAGTTTAAAGAACAGCAAGATTTTTGAATGCAAGGTAAGTTTCCTTCATATATCAGAATGACACTGGCAAGTGGAAATGGAGGTATTCAGACACATTCTTCAGTATACAGGGTGTTTCAAAAAGAGCTTTAAAACTTTCAAAGCTTATATAAATTTATACAGAGGACATACACAACGTTTTGAACTGCCATAATGTAGCAAAACACACTGAGTTTCATGCACGTGGTACTGTAGTACCCAAATACCGCCACCACGAGCGCTCCCGCAGTTGAAATCAAGATGGCTACTTTCACAGGTGCAGAGCATGCTCGTTGTGTGTTTAGGTTCCAAGAATCGAAGTCTGCTACACAAGTCCAATGGAAATTTCGCACTCAGTATCGCAAGGAATCTCCCAGTAGGCTTACAATTTAATCCTGGCACAAGAATGTTGTTCATACCGGATGTTCTGTGCACCATGCCAAGTCACCTGGTCGGCCACGTGTTTCTGACGCTACAGTGGAACGGATTAGGGAGAGCTTCGTCTGAAGTCCATGAAAGTCAACGCGATGTGCGTCTCAGGAAACTGGTATTCCAAATGTTACTGTGTGGCGAATGTTACAAAAACGTTTACACTTAAAAGCGGACAAACTATCCCTCGTTCAACACCTTACGGATGCAGATAAGGTGGTTCATAAGGAATTCTGTATGCAAATGTATCATCGGATACAAGATGATGAGAAGTCTCTGGACTCCGTAATTTTCAGTGATGAGAGCACGTTTCATGTCAGTGGTAAGGTCAATGCCCACAACTGCAGGATCTAGGGCAGCGAAAATCTGTGTCTCCCTGAAACATGTTCGTGATAGCCCAAAGGTGAACATGTTTTGTGCCCTCAGCAAAGAAAGAGTGTACGGCCCCTTCTTCTTCATGGAGATGACCATTACCGGTATTGTGTATCTGGACATGCTCCAAGAGTTCCTCATTCCACAGTTAGATGAAGATTATCAAGAAGGACGCATTCACTTCCATCAAGATGGCGCACCCCCTCATTACCTTGGAGATGTGTGCGAGTACCTCAACATCCGTTTCCCAGGTCGGTGGATTGGTAGTGGCACCGATAGCATGGCCACCTCGTTCCCCAGATCTTATTCCCCTGGATTTTTTCTTATGGGGATTCGTTAAAGATCGAGTGTTCGTACCACCTTTGCCTGCAAATGTCATTGAGCTCCGAACTCAAATTGCTGCCACAGTTGCATAAGTGACACCAGAGATGCTACATAGCATGTGACAAGACTGACTACAGGTGGGACGTCTGCTGCATTGCCAATGGAAGTCACATTGAACCATAACTATCCAAGGTAAAACTCGGTGTGTTTTGCTACATTATGACAGTTCAAAACGTTGTGTATGTCCTCTGTATAAATTTATATAAGTTTTCAAAATTGTAAAGCTCTTTTTGAAACACCCTGTATAATCAAATTATCTTCAACAGATAAATATTGAGACATGTCTAACTGTTGCTGGGCAACGGGAGGTGGAACAAGTTACCATGAAGACAGACCCTTGATAAATGGTCGGTTGCCAAGTTATGCAACAGTGGAAACGAGGTTACGCAACAGTAAGAAAATTGGCGTTTGTCTGTGCCTAGCTGAGCCGAGCCAAAGCGCACTGGTTGCTATGCAGCATTGCCCAGCAACGCCTCTGTAAACATGGCATCATGCAACAGGGGAGTCCATGCAGTGACTGTTGCTAGGCAATCAGTAAACACGACGTCATGCAACAGTGAAAGCTATCACGTAACTGTTTTCTGTGTTACTAGTGTGGAAGCTACATAACAGGAGTATTCGTCAGTGAGAGGAAGTAACCAGTCAGTTGCAGTCTAGCATTCGCCAGAGTGAGCTGAAATCCATTGCTATTGAGTTGTATCGAGTGAATGGAAATGACTACAGGAAAAGTATTGTGATACTGCTGATGGCAGTAGTTGTGAGATTGTAAATTGTGTAAATGTAAGAGCGAATGTGCAATAAATTCACTATATCCAAGATGGCGTGAAGTTATTTGTCGCGTTACATACCCAACACATGACAATATATTTCTCAATTGGAATACAATTAGTGATCTACTGGCTTCCTACATATCTTTTTGAGAGAGTTTCAGTTTAGCATTCTCACCTTCTGTAGCAGCACTGTGCATCACCCCAGCAAGTAGTTTCCTAATTGATGATGTCTGAGTGGGGATAATAGAGCCAGACTTTGGAAATAAATTAAGTTAGAAGTCCAAAACTGAAATCAAATCAAACTGCCAAAAGGAAAGAGATGTGAGAGGGCCAAGACCTTCTTCCCCTTTCCAGTGGATGAAGACATAGTGATTGGACTTTGGTAATGAAGAAGATGAGATTGCCCAAAACGGCAATGGATGGCCCAAATAAAGAGAAGAGATGTCAGGGACACAAGCGACACACTTGAAAAAATAAGAGAAGAGATAAGACAGAAACTTTCATCTCATTCAGTCATCAAGAGACAATAAAATAATTTCATGTGGGACAATTTAGCTGTTATACCTGATATTGATAATGAAGTATAATGAGTACATGCAGTACTCAGAAATTTTATTTACTGAATGAAGCAATAATAAATTATCAACCATGTTCTGCACGAAATCAACATATAAGAGAGCAACAGCAATAGAAGCCAGAATATCTAGAAAATTATGCAGTCCATTGGTAATTTATGCATAGGCAGGAGCTGTCTCTACACCACCAATTATAGAGGGACTTCAATGTAAATATTGCTGCTAGAAATTAACGTACACTAAACAATCTTCTCTTTAACATGTATGCCTGTGATGACAGCTTTATGCAGCTTAAATATGCAAGATAAACTTTATCCAATAAATGAAGTTTCTAACTATTATATACCTTACTTGATGACATTCATTACTTTACTATCATAATAAAATAATTATGACAGGTGGATTAAAACTGTGTAAGTTCTTACATTATATAACCTTCACGCAATTAAATGTTTACATAGAGCAGATCATAAAATAACTTGGGTTTACTAATATAATACAAGTAAAAAGACACTTCAGTCACATAAAAATAACTTCTTTCCTTTTACCTTACCCTTTCCAAACTCTTTCAGAGCTGTGTGAACCATTATTTTCAATTCTCATCCCCAAACCATCCAAATCTGTTCTCTCCCAACTAATATGGTCAAACACTTCACAGTTGCAAACCTCTTGTGGACATAAAATGTTCCATAATTTGGCAGAAAAGAATCAATGGTGGATTATTTGTTTGATTATAATATGGAAAATGCAGAAAATGACAGCTAATGGTTGCAGTGCTTTGTGTATTTATTTAAAAATAAAACACTACTTTCTTCTTCCTATCAGAAGGAAAATAATTTGAGAACACCAGGTACAGATTTAGTTAATGGGGATGGGCTAAGTCAGTCTGGTAACTGCAAAGGAAGATGGCTCAATGTATTATGATTTTTCATGCAAAATAGTTGTAGGTAACTACTGTAACAGTGTAATGCAAAACCATTAAAACATACCAGTGAGATATATCCATTCACCATGTGGCATGGCACAGTTGAAAGACATGTTTGATGGAAGTGCTGCTTCTGGCATAATGAACCAGTTATCAGAACTTGGATGATAGATGTAGACTTGCGGCCCAAATACAAATATTTGCTGCTTGAAGGCGCAGCATGCTGCAGAGTACTGGCTATGAGGCAGTGAGGCACAGCGGCTCCAGCATTCTAAACAAAACAACTTATTTATAAATCACCCGAAAATCTGTCAGATTACAATGCTGGGACATTTGTTACATATTATATTGTTCATATTTTAAATGATTCCATTATGCAAGCATGCAAAGTGACTGGCTGTAAGGCAGATGATATTCAATATATGGCAGCATGTGGAAGGATTTCTCTTTTTGTCATCACTTCCAGACTGACTCTGGGCCCTATCTGGCCTCTTATCCAGTGAATACTGAAACGTTTCAATATGGATGAGTATCTGGTGCATGAATCTGATCTCTCACATCCATTTAATGCCAAGGTCTGGGATATGAGCTTTACCATGTACACACATTCATATCATAATTAAGCACAGAAAAATTCTGCCTTGAACTATGTATTATTGTCTCCATTCTCAGATTAATTGTTGTTCTTGTTCCATTATTCTGGCTTTCAGCTTTCATGCCACAATATTCTGTCATGAAAATAATTACTGTGTCATCTGAATACAAAACAATTTAATTTCAAATCTATGTCAGGACATTGATTTTTGTGAACGAAATGGACTGATTGTCACCAACGCTTGGTTCAAGAAGCCAAAGAGAAGAATTTACACATGGAAGGCGTCTGGGGATTGGAGGAGGCATCAGCTGGACTACATCCTTGTGAAACATCGATTCAGAAACAGTGTGAAGGATGTGAAGACGCTGCCTGGGGCAGATATTGACTCTGACCACAACTTACTGGTTGCCAAGTTCCAAACCAGGTTGAAGAAAATTATAAGAGTTCAAAAGCGCAGACCTAGATGGGATTTGGAGAAGTTATATGCTCAAAGACAAAGCGTGCAGGAGACCCTAGAAGTGAAACTCGGTGCAATTAAAGGTGAAAGCGGAAATGCTGAAGTGCAGTGGAACAATATAAAAAAATGNCTTGAGAAGATATGTAATGAGATTATAGAATTTCAAAGAACAGGATGTTATGATTTGATGTACATAAAGACAAAAGAACTAGGATGGAAAGAGAACCATGGGATTCAAAATATTGGCATCGAAGACTCCCAGTGGAATAGAACAGTAGATCAGAGGCAAGTGCTGAAAATTTGGGAAAATTGTATTACAGAGCTATATGATCGACCTAATCGGCCAGAAACATTAGAAGTTGAAACGGAAGAAGAAGTAGATACAGACGAGAAAGGGAAAGGCTACAGGAGATGATGATGTACCTGGAGATGTGCTCAAGTTACTAGGAGAAGGTGGTTTGAAAACACTGACAAAACTAATGAACACCATATATGAAATTGGAGAGTGGCCCAAGGACTTTACAGAAGTTACACGTACAATGATTGCCTTAAAGAAAGAGACAAAAGCTACAAAATGCAGCGACCATCGCACAATAAGCCTTATTGCACATACAGCAAAGATAATAGCAAAGATACTTAAAAGAAGAATTGAAAGGAAAATAGAGGATATCCTTGGAGAGGATAGTTTGGATTTAGAAGAGGAAAAGGAACCAGGGATGCAATTGGGAAGATGAGAATTATAGCAGAATGAAGATGAAGATGAAGATCATTTGACTGTGTAAATTGGACCAAATTAATGCACATCCTAAAGGAAACAGGTATCGATTGGCGTGAAAGAAGATTGATTAGTAAATTGTACATGGATCAGAAAGTTTAGAGTGCAACTGAAAAGAGGGGAGACAAGAAGTGTGAAGATTGGAAGAGGTGTTCGACA